TTTACACGTACATGGCACTGCAGTTGCACATGCCCGTCATACCCCTCATTAGATGGATTTCACGCACGTGTTCTCCACTAAGGAAAAACGGACAAGGGCTGTCGTGTGCATCCCCCGGCCTTGCCGGGGTCTAGAATCTTATGTCTGTCTTATGTGTGCGTGCGTGTATGTGTGTAAGTGTGAAGGCAAATGGACTGTGTGGACAATACAAACGAGTGTTGTCTAGTTCGATGTGTGAAGGACATTGGTTTGCGACAGAATCTGAACATGGCAAGGAAGCTGTGATTTAACGGGTTGCAACCCAAAGGTTTTGAACCCTCCTTTTTTTTCGATGTTTTTGAAATGCATTCCTTGTTTATCGGATTTCTTAAAAATTTTTCCTCAATTTTTCATTTGTTTGCGTTGTTTTAAAACTCATTTGGACATTTTAAAAAATGTGCGATCAGGGGAGGAGGCTTGCACGGGGTGTCATCACTTCTTCACGGATAATCAGACAAGAGATCGTGCTCGCAATGGATGAAATAACCTAAACGGAGCAGAGAATGTAAAAAAAGGGTATATGGATGCTGTAATCAGAGCTCGGATTACTTCGAAAGGAGACATCTCGCTCCTCTTAAATTCGGGAACGGATTTCAAAGCTGAGGCAGTGTCAGGCCTGGGAAGGGCCCTCCATGTCGGATCATCGAAGTGTCGGCTTTTCGTCAAACCTCTACATTCTCTCCTTCTTGGGTCTTTGTTTAGCACGTACGCCTTTACACAAGTGAGCATCTTTTTCCCTCTCTGACAAACCCCAATTATCGCAGCAATTATCTTCTAGCTGGGAGAGGTGTATCCAGATATAGTTTGGGATTATTGACGGCTTGAGTGGCACACCCCGTGGAAGCCTCCTCCCTTGTATTTTATATTTTTTAAAATACCTCCCCTTTTTTATATTTTTATTTGCAATTTTTTAAATTACTCCTTTGATTTTTTGAGGGGTTTGGGACGTTTTAAAATGGAGATGGCTGGTTTGGAGGTGGCGAAGTGAAGAAGGTTGAAACGTGTTTTCAATGGGTAAAGCAAGCCTCAAAACCTCAAAATAGCTAAGACAAGCCTCAAATGGCCCCCCCCCCTCCCTCCCCC